TTTCTCGCTAGCTCTCCCATCAGCTTCCTCTACTCTTCCTATCCTCATTATTTCAAGGAGAGATTATTTTTGATAATAAGACAAAGGTTATTTTATTATTTTTGCCTGATTATTTACATAAGTACAGGAAAATATTGCTTTATGTTACCTAATAACTTAAAGTTTTCTTTGAAAAACTATACAGTTTTTTAAAAATAAGAAATTAAATCATTCTTGTAAATTTTCTTAAGGAATATCAAATTCAAATTCCATATTCTATTATTTGCTTTCCTGGGGGTAGGAAACCAAGCCTGAGAAATTCTCTGTACTGTACCAATTTCACTTGTTATAGCTATACATTTGGGTAATTTTTCCCTTTGCAACATCCCCAATGTGTCCTAAAGTTATGTACATATAAGATATTGCATTATTAGACTGTGCAGCCAAAAACAGGCCAAGATGTCTTAAAGGGCTTTGTGGACCCTGCTTGCATAATAATTAAACTTGATTAAGTTAACATTGTTTTCAAATATGACATTCCAGTCAAGGCCTTGGTTTCATAGTTTGTGTGATTACCTTGTAGTAAAAAGGACAACTGCATTTATTAAATTTATGTAAATTACTAAATGGTCACTGAAATGAGACTTGATAAGAATTTGAAAATCCCAGAGAAATAAGTGAGAATGAGTTATCATTTTAAAATGGTGTCTTTCAGTTTACAAAAATAAAATGCACCATACTCTATGGGTTACACTTAGATTAAGAAAGGAAAAGAATGTTCTTATGCATTCAGTAAAAATAATATTTTTAAAAAACAACAATATTCTAAGGAAATAGCCACAAGAAGTGTTTTCTCAGTGGTTCATTCAGTCCAACTGCACTTAATTCTGTTCTACGGGATGTTGCTTTAGTCATCATGCACAGCCCTTCTCTTTGACCTAAAAACATTCCTGAAAATCTTGACTCAGTCCATCCATGGAGAATCCTGAAAGTTGTCTGTGACTAGGAGTTCAGCTTTCAAGTATTAGTGCTTTGTAAAATAATCCAATCTAGTCCAGTAGCCCATAATAGTAGTGGGTTATCCGAAGGACTGGCAATGTCAGAAGTTGTTGACTTGAGCCTTTTACAGCTCAGCATATTAATATGGTTTTATTTTTTAGGCTCCAAAGACAAGTACTTTCCATAGTACATAAGCAAAAGCACATAAATTAAAATTTATACTTGTGAGGCATGCAGAATTGCTAGTGGATACTAGATGTACATTTGTTTTATAATTTTTTTTCATTAGCTTTATTGAGAAAGAAGTAGCAATGAGACAGTTTCAAAACAGGTTAGTAAGACAGTTACAATAATTAACACATTGCATATTGTTGTCTTTGTAGTAGTTATTCATAGTACAAGTACATGCTATCTTATCTAAACACTATGAGTTCAAACTTTCTTCTCATTGAACTGAGAGAAAGTAGCTGTATATGCATGATAAATATTTTGTATATGCAGATATACATATAATTTTTCACTAAAAATGGTCCTTCATTTATATCCCCCTTTTTTGTTTACTTTTGTCAAAGATGGGTATTCCATTGTCATTCATATATTGTAGGTGTATGAGTTCAGCAAAGTATTCCAATATAATCCAGTGTTCTATAATAGTAGTGGGTTATCTGTATGACTGGCAATATCAGAAGTTGTTGACTTGAGCCTTTTACAGCTTAGTATATTAATATGGCTTTACTTTATATACCTTATTCTTACACTTTTCTGCTGGATGGTAAAGACCAAGATAAAGCAAAACCTATATAACAAGAAATGTAACTTTTGTATCTGACAAGTTCAGTCAAATGCCCTCAGGATTTACCCTGAGCAGCAGTTTGTAGATTTTTTGTCAGTGTCAGCCATGTGGATGAGAAATGGCCATTGCTTGACCAATTCACTCTCTGTGAAAGCCTGAGAGAATGTTTTCTTTCTGTATGACTCTCCTTAGTGACACTCTACACCGTTGATCATTTTCCTCTGTGGTCCCATAATCTCCTTGATCAGAAAATTTGAGACACCACTGAGTTACCAGGTGTTATAGTACAGGTTCTCTTATATCTTGAGTCCTCACTGACCTTGAAGGGCTAGGGCAAAAATGATGGTTATCTGTGTAACCCTTCTTTTTCTCTAATTTTTTGGTCGGCAAACTGAAGTTGTAAACTTTTCAGAAGAAAAGCTTAATGATAATATTACCCTAAAACTTGGGCTATTTAGCTTAATATCAGTATCTATCCAAATATCAGACACCTTAGACATAACATGGAACAGGTATTTTCCATCAATTGTTGATATGCTAATATAATTCTATTTGATACATTTAATGTTTATGCTACATAAAGATTTTTGGAAATATATTCAAGCTGACATACTTTAATTATTGTTGTAAAAACTAGCTTTTTCAGAATGAATTTACTTAGCTGAAAATAAATTTACATTTGTCATTATTTTAAATATTGTATATAACATTAATTTACATAATGATTATGCCTTTATAAATTTAAGAGAAGCAAACCCAAAAAGAATAAGATGTTGTTTATGTTATACTTAAGAGTGATAAACCAGAAAGCTTAGTTTTTTATTAAACAAAAATTATTACACTAGTCTTATTTATCAAAGATTTACTGTATTTATTAGACATCCAAATTTTCAAAAACAATTTTGAGCTTCCAAAAGACTCACTTTTAAAATGTTATACATTTAAAGTATCATAAATTCAGTTTCCTTGTTTTGAGAAATTTTATGAATATTTGATTTATTAAATAAATTATTTATATGAAAACTCTCTTTAGACCAATGAGTAGATTATTGCTTTAGGAGATTTTTCAATTAAAATTATTACACTCCAAGGATTGGAACATGTTGTACATATTCAAGAAGAGATAATGGTCTTCCTAAATTATAAATATCTATGAACATGACATACAAACTGCTAATAACTTTAGAGCTCAATGTTAGTAACAGATCAAAAACAAATGCAGAAATGAATCATTAATTCATATGTCAAAGAGTTGTTGTCTTTCCTGCAGACATAAAACTCTTAATCTGAGCTTAAAATAGACAAGAAGACAAGTAAGAAACATACAGTACTATAAAACTACATTCTCTGTTATATATCACCCAGCAGAAGGTAAATCTCTGTAACCCATTAATAATCTTGCAGTGGTTACAAGACCATAAAGCCAAATTCCAAATCACTGCTGTCATGAGTAGAGAATAATTTATCAATTGTAAGCATTTCAAAGGCTAAAACAACAAAAACAGTAGAAATACATGGTAAAACAAAGGATCAGTGACATTAATGTTTTATTGCTACTGGAGATTTACCTCTGGGAGCCCAGAAAAGACAAATTCATGTTGCCAGGAAGTGTAAACATTTTGCTACAATCAGCCCTGGTCTGCCTCAGAGGAGACTTTGAGCATTAGCAGTAGATGTTCTAAAAAGGATGTAGTTGTAATTCTCATACAAACACACACACACACAAATCTGCTACAAATTCCATTTAATTCATTCATTACAGAAAGGATCTAAAAATGAATACAACCATCAATCCCTGGCACCATATGCCAAGCTGGCCCCACCCCCAGGCCCACTGAGCTGGTGATGGAGATCTGGCCTGATGGCTCTTGCTTGCAATCCAAGCACTAGGGAGGCAGAAATCAGGAGGATCACTACAAGTCTGAGCTGCAAAGTGAGATCCTGCACAAAAAATAAATAAGTAAATAAATAAGAATACATCCAGTTCAAAGAAGAATTCAAACACTAAAACAAACACATACAGGGTATAAGGAAAATTAAAGTGCAATATATTCCTATATTCCTATGCAGAGAAATAACTAATTGCATTCCAGTAGATATAATTAATTTGCATCTTTGTAAATGATAATATTGCATGATCAGCAGTTCTCAAAGAGTTGAAAGAAAACAAAAATGAGAGCATAAATTATGTGAATAGGTTGAGAAATTGGGAAACTCAGATTTTTGCCCATCTTGAATTTTTCTGAGTCAATAAGACATCAGTCCAAAATATTCTTTTCAAATGATACAAGAAAATAAATTCTGTGAAACAACACTGAAGCTGCTCTTGAGCCCCAATAAAGGTAAATAAACCAGATTATCATTTCGACAGATTATAATCTGAAGGATGTAAAAGCAGATCAGATGGTTTAAAACTTTTATAAAATGCCAGTCAAGTGGAAGACCCAATACTATTATGGGCTAATGGACTCTTTTGGAATATTTTGCTGAGTTTACACACCTATAATATTCAAATAACGGAACTTAACAGAAAAAGTGTATACAGATGAATGTCCATTTTGTATTTGTTTATTCAAAATGGTTAGGTTAGATATATAGTTACATTATCTTAATGAATAGAATGATTTGTTCTGATGGTGTTTGTAGATAGTATATCATGTCCACATCTTGTAAAGCAGTTAACCACTGGGAAGAATGTATGCAATGTGTTGATTATTGAAACTGTCTTACCAATTTGAAAAAATAAATAAATAAATAAATAAATATGCTTGCCAAAAAAAAACTTTAATGAAAGAAGTTTTTCATGAAATCCACTGTGAAATGTTTCTTCCACTGATGTGAGCCAATAATGAGACATTTGGTTTGACAAAATAAAACAAATCAACATAAGATTCTTTCTGACTTATGAAACCTCCAAAATCATATGTGTTCTTTAACCCTCTCATTACAAAAGTGGTGACTTTTAGAGTTCATCCGTGTCTAGACCAGCATGAACTTGGTATGCCACATTGATCCCAGGTACTTTCAGGAATGTCACAACCCAGGACTCCAAAACTCATAGTAGAAATCATCACTGCTCCTGAGAAAAATGTTCTTGATGGAAACACTTAATGGTCTCCTTTAAAACAGTCTTTCCAGTGAATTCTGTTTTGTGAAATATTGAAGTAAAAAATTCATTTGATGCCATTGTTGCATAATCTTGACTAACTATATAATGTGTGCATTTCAGGGTCATCCAGGTGATAACTCTACAAGAACCTCTGTCCAGACAGATCTCTACATACAAGCTGTCATTTTTGACCACATCTCCAGACGGAAGACTTAAGCATCAACATCCTAGATGTTTTCATTATTGTTTGCTAATTTTAGAAAACTTCTGCAGTTAGCAATAAATTATAATCATAAATAAATCCCATAACTGGAAGGCAAATTGAAATAATAAAAGTTAATGGAAAAATTACAAAGAAAATGGCAATTATTTTTATTGTATATCTAACCCACCTCTTGGTCTGATTTGAGGTTTTCCTTGCCTTTTTTTCTTAAATTCTGAATGCTAAGACTGATTGCAACAGTTCATGGAAGAGAATTTTGTTACCACTTCAAAGATACACTAATGAATGACATATTTTGTAGGTCATATTTTCCAAAACAAAAATGTTCCAGGTCTCAGGGTTGCCAAATCTAGTGTACCCAACATTATACCATGTGGCTATGCTGGCAGGGCTGGATCCCAAAATCACTGCATATTGATAAAGGGCCCCAAGTGTGAAGATGGGCATTGGAAACACCAAGTGGACACAAAACTTTCAATTTATGCTGAGTAAATAAAATCCGAGATATTCCACGAGATTATTATGAAATGAATAGAAGGTTTAATGGATTTATGAGTCTGGCAACCTGAATCTCATGGTAATGAAACTTCAGAGATGAAATCTCAAGAAAACCAGATGATTTTAGAGAATCCAGAGAAAAGAGTATGTTTTCCCCAATATTCCCTGAAGGTGGCTTTGTAAAGAGAAGATATTCAGAGTCCACTTATTTTTTAAATGAATAGTCACTCTCATATTTTGCACTGATTTCACTTCTTCTCTTAACCACCTACTCCTGAGGCAATTCAACGGAACCAAGCAAGGTGGCTGCCTGCTCTGTGTATTTCTCAGGGATCAGGGGTTGGATATGTGAAAGCCCAGGACAGTGTCATAGATGAAACTGATGAGATGAAACTCACTCTCAGGGTGAGTTCCTGAGGATCTGATGTGTAGCATGAAGTGCTTTGTCATAGGCAGGATGAGTCAAGTGGTGTGAAGTTGGATGTGTGTATATTGCTGTGACCTTAGGGATATATATATAATA